GGGTTACAAACTAATAAGTATTGTGACCTTGGAAATATTCCGTTATTTTTGGTACTATCAATTAAAAGATTTAGAATTTTCTTTAGCAACATGTAAAGCATCTAAATTAATATTTACTACTAAATCAGCTGTTGTTGATTATCTAAGATGATATTGAGATCAAAATACATCCTGATCCTGTATACCAAGATCAACTATTTAGAAGAAGAATTTAGATGATTGATGATTATGATGTAATCTCAATGCTGTTAAACAAATAATACTGTCATCGTTCCTTTATCTTTAATTGAGAATTTGATCCAATGATTGGATGGCCCATTTTCATGAAATATTAGATCGATCATATATTATTAATGTTTAAAGTTAATAAATATTTTCTTCACTTGATAAGCTTCGAATAACCTCTATCACTTGTATTGTAAATGGTGACAGTGATATTGTTGTTGAGGAAGAAGTTGATGTAAAATGTACCTTTTGTGAATCATATGAAGAAGTGAAGCATATGAAAAAGAATATTTACTGTGATGACTTTGTTTAATAACACCATCTTTTAACATACTAGCAAGTTCATCTGTTACTTCTTTTGATTTAGAAACGATAACCTTTTTTTCAATATATGATTAAGTATATATGCATACTAAACCCAGTAATGGCTCGTTGTAAATTATCTTCAATAATACTTTTAATAAAATTAAATATGTTTTATTAATCTTCCTTGTCTTAGATTCTTCATTAAATACGCGGCAGAGCTTTATTTCTTTTTTTAAAAGGGCTTGTACAACAAAACACTACACAAAAAAAAATATTTAATACTAAAAAACGCGTTTGAAATTAAGTCATATGAACCGATTAATTAATTATACAACCACTATTGCCATTGCTATTAAATTTTTGTAACACAATGAATGAGCTATCATCTCACGTTAGCTAAAAATGTAATAGTAATGAAATTGGAGGAAAAATTGTATATTTAATACTTGCAATTTTTCAAACAAACGTCAAAGTTACTCTTCTATCAGGATTATTGTTGTGAGTGCTTCCTCAAGTTTTGTTAAAATTGTCTAACAATGTTTAATGTGCTAATTATAATTAAGAGTTCATGTCAAATTAATTTTTGTTATAATCATTAGTAAATTACTTGCTTGATTTGATATAGATTCTCTTGTTCTTCAAAATATGCTGTTACTAGTTTATCCAATACAGTTCACCCTCTCTATAACGGATCGTTGGATTTTAAAAAAAATATCCGTTATTAGTACGTCTTCCAATCCTATATATGCAAGTTGTGAGGATCTAATTAATACAAATAAAAAAAAAAAAGATTTTTTTTTATAAACCAAAATTTATTTCCATTTACTATTTTATAAATGAAATCATTAACAATTGGAGGAGTTTTGATAAATAACAATTTTTTAAACGAAAACGTAAACAGCGAGTTTCGTGAAATACAGATTAGCATTATGACGCGATGATGTCCTGGTGTCATAAAATCGCACGACATCAATCATATACATAAAGATCCGACCACCTGATGATCATTTTAATAATTGGGAAACTTATAACTCACGCAGTTCAAAATTTTATTGATCAACCCGGAACTGGTACATTAAGCAAACATGTTTTTAAAGCTAATTCGAATATAAATTCAAAGTCCCGTCAAGTTTGCATTATTAATGAATTTAGGATGAAAATTTTAAATTAGACAAAAAATTTCGTGATTTTATGAAAACTTTGAGCTTAGTAAGACTCTGTTGAATCATGGATTATGTCATTAAGTAGGTCTGCTTAAAATATTTTGAATTATATATGGTTAAAAATTGATCAAGTATAGACAATAAAACGTAAAACCTTAAAATTTGCATTTTGTCAACTTTATTAAGTGTTTTATATAATAAAATTACGGGGTGGTCGGATACTTTTTTAAACCCCTTTCACGAACTAATTTATGCTGACACTCTATTTTAGATATATGTAGCCCATTACGTTGAGCACGTTTTATTAATGAAGTAATAATATACATTACAACTAAGAAATTTGACCTATATTACATGTAAAGATTCCGATTAAAAATTTGGTTTTTTGAACTATTTGCTAAATGTTTCCGTTAATAACATATCAAACCTTTCGAAGATTTTGTAATTTGGAGATTTTGATATCAAGTACAAATCTACTTAGTAAAGTAAGAAAGGTTTTATTTGAGAAAACGTTGCCTTTTTAGTACGGACCCTTTTCATTTGACGTTACACGACTACGGTGGTCGGATATTTATGGTGACATATTAATATTAATATCGTTCAGAGCATCAAAATTAGCACCGAATGAGAAGCATAGTTTGAATGTGCTCACATAGCGTGCACATTCGTAAACTTGAATTTTATCTTGTGCCGAAATGGCCCGAGAGAAATATCTCTCTCTACGTTGTGTTACGAAAAAATGCGGGAACAGCTGTCATATTTGTATGTTTTGAATTTAATAAAATAGACTATTGTCTTGGCCTAAATAATGTCATTTTTTTGCTCATTACGGCTTTTAATGTTTTTGTCAAAAACGTATTTCTCTAATACCCAACACAAAATTTTAAATCTTAACTCCATGAACCTCCTTCGCCCTACATCGAAAAAGCTTTTTTTCCCCATAGTTAACAAATCCCTTTTCTCTATGGCAAACAAAAGCTTTTTCTCAGTATTAAGCAAACGTTTATACATATGTAAACTCGATAGGTCGGTCATGTGGGGGTGAGCTCATATGGCCGACTTATTGAGTAAACCGACTCATCGAATTAAATTACTTAAATATTAAGAAAATGGGGTGAAAATTTTGGCCGACTTATCGAGTAAACAGACTTATCGAGTGACCGACTTATCGAGTTTACATATGTATATCGAAAAAAATATACCTGAAGATGAGGAGGATATTAATGATGTTTTTAAATCACTCGAAGCTCCCAAACAGATGATATTGTTTAAGAAGTTTCGTTACCTGGAACGTGAAATTATGAGAAAAGAAATAATTGCAAAAGAAAAGGAAAAAGAAATAATTGTACTTACAAAAGATTCAGAGATATTTAGAGAGCGTATGGTAAGTTTTGCTTGGAATTGCTTAACGTTGCTTTTTAACAATTAATCTCGAGTATTATTTCTTCAGAGTCGGACAGAATTGGACTATTTGAGAATAAAAGGATCTGTGCATGTTAGAGGTGTTTTGGGTTAGTAAAAAATTATTTACTTCTACTATGAACATTTTATTTGTTTATCCATTTTTTTTGGATTTGTAACTGATTTCTAGAACGTTGGGAAGAAAGTGTGATGAATATTCGTGGAAACTGAAAAGAAATGTGGAAGAAATATCTTGAAAAGAATCCCAAACTATTAGAAACTTTTCAGAAATTTTGGAAGCATCGTCAAAATCAAACTATTACTATTGATGTAAACTTTGTGGCAGGAGAAATGCAGACATTATACAAATGGATGTCTGAAAGAATACATAGTATCAATGCACGAGGAGATGTCGTAGAGTGGAGTAAATCCGATTTAGGAAATGAATGGAGTCAGATGGTGGAATATATGTGTAAAGATCTTAACATTAAATATGAAGTTTTCGGAAATGAAAATGAAACTGCTCCATGAAATTTCTAGCGACAAATAATCTTCAAAAATTTATGTTTGAGTTGATTTAGAAGACTTGTATAGAAGAGAAAATGCAATTGTATTAAAGTCAATAAGTCCATTGTCAAACATGGAATTTTAATAAAACTTCATTTTTAAGCTTGTTAATATTAATTAATGGTTATCTTTCAATTTGGAAAAAATGATGTCAATGGATTGGTATTTGCAGCAGCAACTTTAAATGCAGCATTTTTTCGCCTAATTGTGGATGCTGCATTACCCATATAAACAGAAGGTCTTTTTAGATTAGAACTTCACTTGCACTTGCACTTGCTGCCATCATTTTATCAAAAACCGAAGGTAAAATTGAGTTAAAATCATCCTCAAAAGTGTTATCATACCAAATTTCATCATTTAATTCATCGTCAGATGATAATTCTTCATCTGAGCCAATTATTGTTTCAGAATCATCATGACTATTTACATCAAGGTCATTTTTAAAATTTTGTGCTTTAGATTCCTTTATTTTTTTAAAATGACTACTCTGTTTTTTAGGAGGCACCGTAAGTTTTATTTTATATTTCTATATAGAATTAAAAGAAATAATTTGTTTGATCACGTTTTGTATGTATGTATGATTTAAAATGTTTGATTATGATTTTGTGTATATATTTAAAAAAATTGATTACGTTTTATGTGTATAATTTTGTTTTTATTATTATAGAGATATTTTTTTTTATTAGTATGGCTTGGTAAAAACACCTTGGATTTATATTGATTTAATCACTTCTTTAGATCCCAATTCAGTGAGTAAAGAACATAAATTTATTTTATTGATTTCTTCTTTAGATTATTACATGAAGCATTGATGATAAAAATCGGGCTTACATTTGATTTGTCATCATGGTTCTGGATCTCTAAACAAACTGTTTTACCTTGTGGTATTAGTTATTCCTGGAATGTATCAAATTAGATTATTGACAATTGTTTTTCAGTTGCAATTATATATTTCGGCCGTAATTATGTAGATTTCAGTTGCAACTTTTATAAATTAACAGATAATAAGACATCTTTTTAAAATTCTAAAAAATGATGAGGAAATTATCTATTGTGTTTATTACTTGCACAATTGTGAATTGGTGATACCCATTGAGTACAAATTATGTGACTGTGGGTTACAGGTCGATTGCAAAAATCCATTTCAACAAGGATGTGAGTTTAAACATTCCAAATCATAATCCTTTTTTTTTCATAAAAATTCAAGAAAAGATTTTAATTATTTTATTTAAGTATTAATGTTAAACATATTAAAAATAAAATCATTAATATTATAATGATGAAAAAACAAACAGAAACATAAAAATGGTTTTGTTGTTGGTGCTCCAATGTCAATTTTCAATGTTGTTGTTGTTGGACTTGTCTTTCTATCACTGCTATTTGCTCCAAATGTTCATTTAATTCATCTCAAATTGTTACTGACCGGCAAGCACAAGTGCGAGAAGGAGAGGGTGTACGAGAATGAGAACAAGTGGTGGTAGTGGAAGCAGTAGCAGTGGTAGTAGTGGTGGGAGCAGTAGCGGTAGTAGTGGTGATGGTGGGAGCAGTAGCGGCAGTAGTGGTGGTGGCATAAGAAGTAGAAAAATAGTCAAGTGTTTGCTAAAAGAATATTATCAATAAACCAAAATTTGCAATTAAATTAAGAGCATAAATATTTTAGCAAGTTTTCATTACAAGTCTTTCCATGGAAAAGGGAGATTGATAACAAGTCAATGGAGCCTTCCATGAAAAGGGTTTCTCACCATTTTATATGATAAGTAATAAAATAGGTACTTACCAATAAATCTTTTTTGCTGATATCTTCAATAAATTGGGCTTCTTTATAATCATTATCTCTGTTCTTTAATTTCATTATGCAATTATTAAAGGCACTTTCAATAACATTATCCTGATATTGATTTTTAAAACCTTTCTTATAAAAAAAATGACAAAAGAGATAAAGCAATTTATGATCATCCCCATTGGCTTCGAATTCACCAGTTTTGATGTAATCTATTATATTTATTGTAAACCAAAATGACAAGTTCTCTTCTTCAAAAGCTTCCAATTCTACACCATCTAATCAAAAAAAATCAATTAAATTAATTCATGTAAATGATACCAAAAACACTCTAACATCATACATAATAAACATACAAAATCCTTGTTTCCTTTCATTAATAACTTGTTGTTATTCAGAAATTAAATTAATGTTAGTAATTTTGGTATTATATTAAGAAATTTTAAGTAGAATAATCAATCTTTTATATAAAGATAACATCATTTATTTACATGATATGAAGTAGGCAAGGGCGAAGAAGGTGAGGATAATTAATATCTAATTGTAAATAAACTAGAATACTTACTCATTCTTTTTATCCTTGTTTTTTTGTTTTTTTTCTTTTAGGATTTTATTAATGAAGACATTTTAAAAAAAAGAGAGAAATTTGTTTTGATTAATCAAAGAATGACTACGAATTGCAACGCGCTGCAACCACCATATTCTTTTTAAAAAATAACTAGAGTAACAACAAGTGGCGGGCGATAACCACCACCACCATCCTTATTCTTAAAACACTTACCCAGCGATGTTTTCTTGATCAGTTTCTCTGCTTCTTTTTCTTCTATCCTGTTTGCTGATGTTCATTTTAATAAAAAAATTTTAAAAAGAAGTTTGTGATTTAATCGACGCGTACACATTAATTATTTATCCTATTGGTTTTTTTTTTTTGGGAGGACAGATGCGAATTGATTGTTTTTTTTTTTTTTTTTTTGAAAAACAATTTATTTTTCCCTTTTGGGTCACGTGAAAAGGACAGGGGACAGGAATTGTGGCAGATGCCCTGTCCCCTGTCCTTTTCAATAATTACTCCCGAAATCTATAAAAGGACAGGTTGCGGGATACATAGGTAAACTCGATAAGTCAGCCGTGCATGGCTGTGCATGTTTGGCTGACTTATCGAGAGAACTGACTTATCGAGACCGTCTTACAAAGAACACGTGACATAAAAATTTTTTGTGTTAAAAATTTTATTATTATAAAATTAAATAAAAATTACAAATAAATAACGAAATAAATAAATAATAAAACAGATAAAAATATGAAAAAAAATTTTTTTTTTATTCTAAATAAATATCCATGCTAGATTGTATTGAAGAAGTTGCATGTTTTCTACTAATTT